GTATATTTCAGAGCCGGGTGAAAAGAATTGACTGCGGTTATGAATTGAGTGAGCTCCTCTCTGGTAGAGGAGGTAGCGCCGATACAGTCGTCGATGTAGCGACCGTAGAGTTCAGGTTTGGACCCGTTGTATTGGCTGAAAAATTGATGTTCGACAAAACCTACAAAAAGATTGGCATAGCTAGGTCCCATTTTGGTGCCCATGGCTACACCATTGGTTTGTTTGAAGAAGTTGTTTCCGAATGAAAAACAATTGAGTGTGAGCACTAGTTCGGCTAAGCGTAGTAGTGTTTCAGATTTAGGTTCCTTAACAGTACGTTGATCAAAAAAATGTTTAAGGGCCAGAAGGCCTTCGCCATTAGGAATGACAGTGTAAAGAGACGTAATATCCATGGTGAAAAGAAGTTTGTTTTGGCCAAGGAAATTAAAGTCTCGAAAAATTTGAAGAGCGTGTTGGCTGTCTTTAATATATGATGGTAAAGTTTTGACGATGGGAGCCATAATTTTGTCTAGATAGCTGGAGATAAGTTCGGTAGGGCAACTGCAAGCCGAGACAATGGGCCGACCCGGGTTGTTAGGTTTGTGAATTTTAGGTAGAAAGTAAATACGTGAAGTTCTAGGAGTGGTTATGATGAGTTTTTTGCTGTGGCCGGCAATTCTTCTTTAGTTATGAGTTAATAGTTATCAAAGCGGCCGATAAGGGCGGCTCACTCGTTGTTTGGCGCACCGACCTCTACCAAAAAGAAGCTTTGCGGCAACTTTCTGACACCTCTTTTTATCAAAAGGTCGACAAAGACCTCACTGCCAGCAATCAAAACTCCGTCAAGAATACGATCAACTCCTTGCACTTAGGTAGCACGGAAAGTCGTAAAAATCTTGAACAAAAGCTCATCTTTCAAACCGGCAGTCTAAATCCCACAGGGATCAACGAACGCTTTTCATTCCACTAATTTATTCATGTTTTTCTCGTTGCCATGTTGCCACCAATAACGTAGCTCCATTTTCTGCCTTTAAAAGCACACTTAACCCACAATTCCTCTATTCGCTCCGACGAAGGGCTAACGCTCGAAACGTCAGCTTTTGTAATCGTTACGGTGGCCAATTTACCATTTCAACTTTGTTGATATATCCAAATTATTGAGTAGCCTTTAAGTGGGTATGAGAGTAGGCCTTTATAGATTACGCTAGTAAAAGTAGCATTGCTTTTTATGGCGAAATTATGCTAAGATTATGCTATTTTTTCAAAATTATGCCCCTTTTTTTAAAATTATACTCTTTGAAAAAATTGCAAATAAGTCCAAAAAATATATTTTTTAATTAGAAGCCGTTGGTCTACAAGAAAGAAACGCAGCAAATTCACAATGAGATTCAAATAATCATGTGGCTCTGGTAAATATGCACACTAGTACAAGACTATACATGGCCTACAATGTGACTTCCGGTTACGGTGCACCCCAGACCCGGGCTCAGACCGTTTCAGACGCCCCTGAGTGATTCACAGTGAACTACAAATGCTACTACTTGAACTAAAACTCAAAATATCGAATAACGTCACCAAGTGCTTGGGAGTAGAGATGAAAAATGATCAAATTATAGCGTCAAAAGTGATCCGATACTTATCAAAATATGTGAATTGTGCTAGCATTGCTACTTCGTAGAAATTATGTCAGTTTGCTCAAACTACGCCAAAGATTATGCTAGCATAATCTATAAAGGCCTATCTGAGAGTGGCAATACCATTTGCATAATTCTACAAAGTCTTCCCTGCATAAACCCATTAATACGGGCTATTTTGCTCTCGCGCAGACTTGACATGTCATTCCTGTGCCAATATTTAAAACTCTGTCTGAGCAGTTTGCTCTGTAGAGGTGCAGGGAAAATGCTCCCTGATTAAGGGTGCTTTATTAATACTCCTATTAGAATTAAAAAAAACAACAACAACAACAACAACAACCAAGGAGCGCAGTGAAGTGAGCCATCAAGTCTTTGAGGAATATTAAGTGAACACTGGAAAGAAAAAAAAAAAGGAAAAAGGAAAAGAGAATTGGACCAAGCTGCAATCTTCTTTATTCATAATCACTTAGCTTACACGTAACGTAGGAAGAGGTCTTCGAAAAAAATTTCAAAAACTGTAAATGGAGGAAAAGTGTCGCGAAAAGGAATTCTTCCTACAGCGATTCATTCGATCAGGTCACCATATTTGTTCTTCCTGGGTGTTGGCCCTATGGAAGAGACAGGAACAACAGAAAAACTTTGTGTATCAAAGAACTTTTTTCTCTAAAGGAATCTCACTGAGCTGTTATTTGAACCTGGTAAAAGGTATTATTCGAATGGAAGACACCTTTGCTCGCAGTTGAAAGACGTTGAACTATACTGGGCCCGTTTGGAGCCTTTTGAGGGGGGGGGGTGGGTCTGTACGGCGCAAGGCTTCACAGCTTCTTCTGAAAACAGTGACGGGTGTGGTACAGGGTACAGAAAATTCCTCTGTCCAATAAAATGAGAAAATGTATGGGCTATAAACCTTTATTAAGAGCAAGGTTGCTGACTAACGAGAGATAGTCTGAAGTGAGAAAAACTGACAGCAAATGGATTGATTAGAAAGCCGATGTAGTTGGTTAACTTCAGGCACCGATGGTGCGCACAATATTACACTTCATTCCTGTTCTTCTTAGTGAAGCATTATAATTAAAGCGAGACCAATAGCATTGCTTAAATGCATGGTACAAGACATAATACCTTGTCTATATGAAGGCCTCTCCCGTTGATTACTGGTCCTCTGTCCAGTTTCCTGGCTGCTGCGGTCATCGTCGCCCTCCTCTCGGTCAAACCAGGACGTAAAAACATCATTTGAACTTGTCTTGTTATCCTGATCAGCCTCTCGAGGTTGCTGTCTTATCTGCTTTGCAAATGTAGTTGGAGGAGAGGAGCTAGTCAGAACTTTCAAAATGTGCTCTGCAATTGACAATTTGCTAAAAAGTTGTGGTTTTTGCAATGGGTTCAAATATTTTTTTTTCTTAAAGAGAGCTACGTCAAAACGTTTTTTATCTTTTCTTTTTCTTTTTTCCTTTAACCTGGGCAAGATGGAGGGAAGGGGGGGATGCTTGGGAATTCAAACTGACGAACTTAGAACATTACCTACGAAACAGAGCTTGAATTCAAAATGTAAAGTTGCCTAAGTTTCCTGAGTTAAAGTTGCCTGTTACGCTTGAGATAATCAGATCAGTCCCTTCACTTTCCATATACCATTAGCTGTTGCCAAAGACTCTGGGCATATAAACGCACTATTTAAGAGAACCTGTTGACAAGCTAATTAACTTTTTCCACCTGCTCCTTCCTTGTCTGACTTGAAGAAGACAGGTTAGGAGGATTCCATCTCTCTCTATGTTTCTTTCTCAAATCTTCATAGGTTGCATACTTCTTCTCTTTTGCTTCATCAACATCAAAATAGAGGTTGGGTGCTTTACGGTCATCTTCACTCGACCGGTTGTTAGGAGTAGCAGTGTTCCTAGAAAGGGGAAATTGCATGTCCATGGAGGGTTCTTCTTCCCTTTGGTTCCCTTTTGTAAAAAAAAAAAAAAAAGTCGAGAATCATGCCTTTTTCACTTTTCTTCTTTTTCAAAAACATTTTGATCATGGTTGTAAACAAACAAATCCTCCAATGGATACAAAAGATGATGAAAGTATAGACTGACGAAAATACAGACGGGTAAGTAGAAAAATAGAC